GTCCTGCAGGCAGAGCACTCAGCCCTGCTGGGGTGGGAGAGGGGCTGGTCCTGGGAAGAGTCGTTCCTTTAAAGCTCAGCAGCACAGACACTTCACAAGGAATTTAATGAGCCTCTTGGGACTTCGGTGTTGTTTCCATCAGACTCAGTCCCTGAGAGAGTGTTCAGAAAACTTCTCAAGAACTGAAATTTAAATTTAGACTCCAAAGTTTATGAAGTTTAAATGGGTCTCACTGAGGGACAAGACCTAGAAAGTGTCCCCAGGTTCCAGTTAGAGCAGAACACTCTAGGCAGTGATTTGATTTATTAAAAAAAATATGTCTATTGATCCAGTACCGATATCCAACTGTGAAGGAAAAAGACTTTTTTAACAGTTTTAAGTTACAAAGTCTATATTTATTGCGATGCCAAGCTGCATGCAGGACAGCTGCCAAATACACACTGCAATTTACAGGTGATTACAGAGTCCATTTATCTTTACAAGTATTGAATTCTCAGAATACAAATGCGTAATGTCCTAGGATGACATTATGATGCTTGTATCCCCATTCATGTGTTCTGTTAATGCTGGGTATTANGCCTCCCCCAGAGGATGTTCCACGAGATCGACCCCAGAGCCTGACACGGGGATGGGGGGCCAGGGCCCTGGGGGTGGCACAGGGGGACAGGGACCTCCCGGCAGCGTCCCTGTCTCCCCCAGAGCCAGAGCCTGGGCCAGGCCTCCTGCACCCTGTTACGAACGAGGCGTTGAGAGCACTGAAAAAATCCCCAGCAAGGGATCAGCAAAAACCAGATTGAATATTAAGGGACAGCAGCACAAAATTCTTTTGCAAGAGTCACTCTGCTCCTGACTGGACACTTCAGGCACACCAAGGAAATAAGGCAACAACAAAACCAAATCAAATCCAGTCAATCAAACCAGAAATCAGCCAAGAACTCTTCCTGGGTATGTGTGACACAAGGACAGTGAGGGCAAAGACAAAAGGAATATGGGCCAAAAGCTTAACAGAGGTCAAACTTAACAGGACTTTACTTATACCTTAACTTTAACTGCTACTTTCAACTCCCCAATTTAGGAAAAGAACAGCACATAGCACTATTTAATCTAACTTAAAACCTATGAGTTGGAAATATAACAGAGGAATTACACTTAACAATCCTTAACTTAGTTATAAATTAAATGTAACAACTTAGAAAAAGAGCAACTCTTAGCAGCATTAAACTTCGTTTAGACCTCATGACTTATACTTACTTACTGATAATCTGGATATCTGACTGCCTCAGCTACCCAAGGCACTCCAACCCCACAGAGAGCAGCATTTCTGCCACATTTCCCCAGCACAGGCACTCCTGTGTGCACACAGAAACAGAGTCAGTGCAAGGCACCTGTGAGCAATTCCCCTGAGGGCAGGAAATGCTCACTGTGGATGCTTTGGCATCTCCCCAGCAGGCCAAGGGCTGAACCTGGAGGAGTGGGGGGATCGGCCCAGGCTCTGTGGTTGTTCAGGATCACCAAGTGCAGCAAACGGGAGAGTTCCCGGCTGGGAGAGGCCCCACTCAGAGGGAGTCGCTGGCCCAGGAGAGCTCCAAGGGCTCCTTTTGGAGCGCTGTGTGCAGGGCCCCAAGAGAGGGGCTTCAGTCCCAGCAATGGTTCATCCTGGCCGCACTTGGCACCAACAGCTTTCTTTGGCAGTGTGAGAACAGGGATGTTGTGCCACGGAGGGAACAAAAGCAGTTGCCAGGGCTGCTCCTACAGAAAGCAGGAGCTGTTTGGGCAGCAGCAGTGCCTGGAGCAGTCAGTGTTTGTGATGAGCTGCAGAGGAGCTGAGCCCAGGGGCTTTTGGCCAAGGCCGAGGCCCAAGGAGCATTTCTCAGCTGGCAGGGCGGCCTGAGAAGGGGAGGGGGGAATGCAGCAGCACAGGGCCATGGAACCAAGGGATCATTGTGACACTGTGGGGCCCTATGACAGCAAGGAACCAGTGTGACACTGTGGGGCCTCATGGAATCATGGAGACAAATACAAGATTCCTGGGCCTCATGGAACCAAGGAGACTGTACTGGTGCTGTGTGGCTCCATGGAATGTTGGGATCATTGTGACACTGAGAGGCCAAATCGAACCAAGGGTCCATTGTGACACTGCCGGGCCTCATGGAGCCATGGAGACCATTGTGACACTTTGGGGTGTCATGGAACCAAGGGGCCATTGTGACACTGAGGGGCACCATGGAATCACAGAGACCATTGTGACACTCAGGGCACTCATGGAAACATGGAGACCATTGTGACACTATATGCCTCATAGAAAAAGCAAAGTATTGTGACACTGTGAGGCCTCATGGAACCAATGAGACCACTGTGACCCTGGGAGGACAATTGTGATATTTTGGGTCCTTGTGAAACCAAGAGGCCTTTGTAACACTGCAGGGCTGCATGGAACCAAAGGTCCTTTGTGACACTGCAGGGCCTCATGTTATCAGTGGTCCATTGTGACACTGGGCAGCCAAAGGAGACCATTGTGACACTGCAGGGCTGCATGGAACCAAAGCTCCAGGGGGACACAGAGTGGCCTCCTGTCATCAATGGTCCATTGTGACACTGTGAAGCCAGAGGAGACCATTGTGACACTGCAAACCTGTTGCCTTCTGATACAAGGCTGGTGACCTGATTTCAAGAGACAGCACGGCGACCCATTCTCCGGGGCCGCTTGGGCCTAAGAAACACGCTGACACCAACGTGGTGGATGATCAAGGGCCTTTATTATCTCTTCTTGTGGGGTTTTATAGTCTAAGGGGCTTCTACATCAGGCGAGGGTCTGTCTTTACCATCTATGGTTAGTAGGGAATGGAAACTTACAGGGAAAATGGAAAATTACTGGCATGTGGTTTAGGGGGCTGCATTCCTATGTTAATTTTCTTATCTAAGGGAACAGGGGCCCTGTGTTCCCGTAACATCGCGAGATCTTCCGAACGCCAGGCCCTATCTGCTACTTCTCCCCCCCCTTTTTCACAAATGAATGAGGTAGTCATATACATAGGTACTAAAATGAGGTATAACTTTGTAGTTCGGTAAGGGAAAGGGGTTTGGTGAACCTGAGTAAGTTTTTGCCAGACAAGTTTAGGACTTGTGGCTGGCAGTGTTCCCTGGTTGAATTCACAGCAATTGTCGCCGGCCTATGAACAGGATGTTGGCCCATTCCAGGCGGGCCTGAACGAATGAGACTAGCTTGTTCAGCAGGCATGGTCCAAAGGTGACTGCTAGAAGCAGCAATGCTAATGGACCTATTAGGGTAGAAATCAGAGTGGTTAGCCATGGTGATTGATTGAACCAGGACTTGAACCAGCCCTGTTGGGCTTCCCTGTCCTTCTGCCTCTGAGCCAGTCTGTTTCGGAGTTCCGCCATGGAGTCTCTTACGACTCCTGTGTGGTCTGCATAGAAGCAGCACTCCTCTCTCATGGCGGCACAGAGGCCTCCTTGCTGCATGAACAGGAGGTCCAGACTTCGCCTGTTCTGCAGGACCACCTCCGAGAGAGTGAGGAGACTGACTTCTCCAGGAAGGAAATGGATTTCTCAATCCTTTGCAGGTCCTCATTGATGGTCATTTGCAGCTGGGACAGTCTTTGGTGCTGGGTCGCTAGGGCTGAGACACCCATTGCCGATCCTGCCGCTCCTAAACCGAGCAACATCGCGATAGTTACACCTGTTATTATTTCTCTTTTGTGGAGCCGGCTGGGTTCNTTTGGAGTTGGATTCTGCCTTGGAGTTCCTGAGAGGTTTCTTCAGCTCCCTCTCAGGGACTGATGTTCAGGGCCTGAGCACAAAGCCCCAGAGGCTCATTAAAGTTCTTGTGCTGTGTCTGTGCTGCTGAGCTGGGCTGGGCTCCTGGCACAGAGGCAGCTCCTGGTAACCAAGAAGAGCTTCAAAAACACATTTCTCCTGATGAGCGGCTCTTCTGCCAGCCCAGCAGGGCTGGGGCACTGCCTGCATCCACTCCGGGCACAGCACAGAGGCACAGAGAGCTTCAATCAGTCAGGGCTGGGAACGTGTTGAGAAGTGCCTGGGGCACAATCACTGCCAGCCCTTGGCACAGGAACCTCTGGCTGCAGGACAATGCAGCTGTAGCTCCTGGAGTGATCTCCTAAAGCTGGAACATCCCAATGCCTACAGACTCTGTGAGTACATTCTCTGATTGTCTCTTGTGCAGAGCAGCCAGAGGTGCCCAGGGCTGTTGTGCAGAGCAGGGTCCTGCAGCCCAGGGCGCTGTGCTGGGGCAGGGACTCTGCTGCCTGCCAGGGACAGCTCTCAGTCAGCCCTGGCAGCTGCTCCCAGCACTGGGGGACAGGATGTGGGTGGGAGGAGACAGCTGGTAAGGCTTGGAAGTGTTCTCATTGAGTGGGGAGGATGCTGCATTGTTCAGGACTGCTCCTAGCATGACATTTAACTGCAGAACAATTCCAAGCAGATTATACAGGGAGCGGAGAAGGGCAGGGGTGGCATAGAAAAGAAAATCCTGCTTTTTTAATCTACTGCTCTGGGTTGCCTTGATGGGAAATCGCCAACAGATATTCATCTCTCAGTCCAGCAGGAGGAAAAGATTTTTTTTTCTCAGATCTCGCTAAACCAGGCAGTGACAGAAATCAGAACAAGACCCTTTATAGGCAGCATCAGTGTCGCTTTTCCAGCCTCCTCAGGGTTGCTCTGACTTTGCCATCAGAGCCTGCAGAGCCAGAGCTGCCCCTGGGCAGTGTCTGAGCTGGGAGGGGTCTGCAGGGCAGAGCTGAGCCCCCAGGGCTGGGCTGGGCTCTGGCACCACTGGCAGGGCCCAGCCCTGGGCACAGGGAGCAGCTGCTGGCAGGGACAGCTCCAGGCAGCAGAGCCCTGGGCAGGCAGGCAGTGGGGGGAACGTGCCCCCATGCTGTGCTGGAATATTTAAAGTCCTCTCTAAACGCAACTATTCCATGATTACTTTTCTTATAGATCCAAATGTCAAGGAATCATAGGAAATGTCTAACAGCAGCTCCATCAGGCACTTCCTCCTGCTGGCATTGGCAAACACGCGGCAGCTGCAGCTCCTGCACTTCTGCCTCTTGCTGGGCATCTCCCTGGCTGCCCTCCTGGGCAACGGCCTCATCATCAGCGCCGTAGCCTGCGGCCACCACCTGTACACGCCCATGTTCTTCTTCCTGCTCAACCTGGCCCTCAGCGACCTGGGCTC